GAATCAAAAGGACTGGGGTTAAGATGGGAAAACCTCTGTTTTTTATGGCTGGAAGGGGAAGTCAAGGGGAGACTCATGGTCCAAGCTCAGGTCTTGGCACTGCCCTCAGCCAGTTAGATCTACAGAGAGGAAGGTTTTTTGCTCCTGGGACACAGGCTGCCTGACTACCACCCTGGGGCTCCTCTGGTCATCCCTGGGCCTTGCTGATCCACACCTGGTGGGCATGTTGGTCTGCTGTGTTCCCAGCCATGGTCTTCTGAGACAGGAAGGTGGTCTTGGAAGAAAATATGGACCGTGGGAGGGTGAGGAGTTGGAGAGAACTGGTGAGCAAGGTCAGCCCATAATTCTGTTGCAGGGTCCAGCAACTCTGCTAATCCAGAGCAACTGGGACTCCCCAAGGCCTCCCCTGCACCCTCCTGACCTGGATCCAGACCCAGGGGCTGGACACAACATTTCTGAGATGACTGACAAGGGCCCTCTGGAGCCCAGCACCCTCACTGCTCTGAGTGTGCACGTCTGGACCTCCAAGGAACTCTGGGCCCCCAGAAACGATCCAGTCGGATGTCGGTGAGTGTCACTGCTCATTTCTCTTTGGCAGCACAGGGCCCGAGGATGCGGGGCCTGGGCAGGTCCTCAGCCCTGAGCCCTGCTCAGGGAGGATGGTTGCAGGCAGACTTCTCTGAATGTGAATCATAATGATGAGCTGAGAATGGGCTGCAGCTCTCAACCCCACACCTGCATACACCTGAGCGCTGGGTGGAGACACCTGGTCATCTGGGGCGGTTCCCCTCAGTGGCCGCCTGTGGGGTCCATCCAGGGTGAACTCACCTGGAGCCCTGCTGCCCCGACCTGCTCCCTAGGTGACCCCACAGAACCAGGCAGAGGTAGGGTGTGTGCTGGGTGGGTTGGGTGCCTGGGAAGTCAGCCACCAGTGCAGGGCTTACCTGCAAGTGAGATGCAGCTAGAAAGCAGACAGCCCGTGCCCCCTGCCTGGAGGACTGCTGTCTGGAATGGGGGGCTGTTGTAGTCTTTCCTGATGCTGCTCAAACCAGGCTCCCTCTGAATTGTCCAGGGCAAGGGTCAGAGTTCAGAAGTGGAAGCGAATCCTGTTGCTGTCTTACTCATGTTTTGGCTTACTCTCAATTAAGTGGTTCATTGAGACCCTTGGTATCTGCAGAAAGAGCTTGTCAGAATAACCCAGATGGAAGGCAACGCAGCACCAGAATCTTGCCTTTGGCCCGTTTTGGATCGTCCATTTTGAGTGGGTCTAATATACTGGGAATTCAAAGAATCTCAAAGTAACCAGGCAGTACTGTGCAGACCCTGAAATTGCCCTGCCTCCCACCCTACCTTGATGCTCAGAGGCTTCCTTCCCTACAGAGGATTCAGGAGGGAGAAACCCTGGAGTTGTAATTTGGGGGTGTGACCACCAGATGGCAGTGGTGCATAAGCCACAGGCTCTGGGCTGCAGGGTCCAGGCTCCAGGACAGGGATGCCCTTGGTAAACCTGCTGAGGGGAGGGCTGGACCAGGGTCTGTACATGCATGGACAGACTTCACCCTGAATTGACCAGCAGGCTGACACTTGGAGAGCTAAGTCATTTAGTCAAAGTCAGCTCATCAAGAGTGGCAGGATGCAGACCTGGCACAGGCTTATAGGAAGGCTTGGGCTGCACCCAAGGCTGCAGAAGGACAGTGCTAGTCCAGCGGTTACCATTCCTTTTCCACTCCTGCACCCCAAAGGAGTTCTCATCCTGGTCTTTAAATGTCAGAAGCACTGGCCTCCACCCCCCACTTTCTGTAGTAAATCTCTAGATTTCTACTTGTCTTCTCTGCCTCCCAGCCCTGTGCCTTAGGGCTTCCGTCTGCTGTCTGTGGAAAGGTGGTATAGAAACCTTCCTCTCCAGGCCTTCTGTTCAGCAGCATGCCCATTAGCTGATGTTCCAGTGATCTCAGAGGTAGGAAGTCACCTCTGCTCCTCTGGAGCTATTTTTAGATTAAGCCAAGTCAAAGGTAGAGTTCTGTCATTTGAACAAGTTTTCAACATATATTAACCTTTTCTAAAGTTCATTTTAAACATAAATTCGATTGGAAGGCTCCTTCAAAACTGTTCCTGTTTAACTGGCATGGGAAAACATTCTAGCATGTTTGCCCTCAACTTTGGACTCAGAACAGCCTGGCTACTCATTTCTGTTCTCTTTCACCAGCTTGCTACTCTCTCTGGGATCATTATACAGTAAAACCAGGATCACATGAACACAAGCATCGTGACACCACCAGATGATCAGATAACCAAGGCTGCAGCGACGGAGGGGCAGGTAACCTACACGGGACGGATCAATACACCGTACAAAAGAGGATGGGACAGAATGGGATGGCCTGAGATTTCCTCATGCTCATTCCTCACTAGAACGGCAAACAATTTAAAACTTAAGTTGTTAATTTCTGGAATTTTCCATGTAATGTTTTCAGACTGTCATCGACTGCATGTACCTGGAAGCCATAGAAATAAAATCTGCCAGTAAGTGGGCTCTGCTGCAGCTAGATGTCAGCTGCAGGGCAGAACCTCCCGCTTCCTGCCACCCCCACTTTGTCCCCCAGGAAAGGCCTGGAGGGAGAGGATTCCGCCAAGCTGATACCCCGCCTCCCACCCGCTTACCCACACCAGGCACGTGCAATGTCCTCCAGGACATGGGCTCTTGGTCAGGGTCGCACCTGCCCCAGGCCAAGGGGTCTGTGATGTGGCCAGATTGTCACTACTATGTGCCTCATCTGACGTCCAGGTGCCCATCTCACCTGCGGATGCCCAGGCTAACCTCCAGGTCCCCTGTCTGACCTCAACGGGCCAGCCCAGACAATGGGAAGAGGTGCCAACCCTAGTCTGCCAATCCTAGTAGGGGTCTCTGCCACAACACTTCCTGCAGCCCTGTTCTGGGGGAAAATGGAAGGGTGCTGTCTGCTGGTGGAGGTACCAAGACGTAGGGCTCCCCCGAGATTTGCTTTTAGGAAAGTCCGGGCTCTGTATGGGACTGTGTGGGACTGTGTGGGCAGTGAGGCCTGGCATCTATGGACCCACTCTCTTGTCTGATTGCCCTTGGGAAAGACTGCAGTCCCAGGGAGGACAGAGCCAAAGAGGGGTGCACATCCACCTGTGGATGGGGCCCATGTCCATGTGTGGCCAGGCCTGCTGGCCCTCGGTGTCCTTGTACAAGGTTATCCTGAGGCCTCAGAGATGCCGACCACATGGGAAGACCTGGGGGGGCCTGCAGCCAGCACCAGGGAGGGGGGAGGGAAGCGATGGGTTTGTGACTGTTGAAGACGGAATCTCTCCTGGGCTCTCCCACTCTCTGCTGCAGTAAGTCTGCACCTGAACCGTTTGCTGAGCCTTGCCTGCATCAAACCCACCCCACTGGCCTTCCGCTGCTTGCAGGGCCATAAATGTCCTCTATTGGCCACAGCCTATTTTCTTTTGTCATCTTACATTAAAAACAATTCCTTAAAAGGAAGATGGCTGAGATTTCTGCAAGACCAGCTTCATCTCAAATTTCTCTCCTGTAAAGAGCAGGGAAATTAGGCCCCCCTTGCTGGGCAGGAGCTGACAGTGTGACTTATTTTAGTAAGTCCAGACTGTTCCTTACCGAAATGTTATACATCTTCCTCCTGGCGCCGGAACACTGCTAGGAGAGCAGCTGGGGCAGGAAGTAGGAATAGCCACTGACAGTGGCCTCCAGACGCCAGCACCTCCCAGCTCTGATCTCTTGCATTTCCCAGGCTGATCTCCTGCACCTCCAGCCTGATCTCCTGCACCTCCCAGGCTGATCTCCTGCACCTTCAGCCTGATCTCCTGCACCTCCAGTCCTGATCTCCTGCACCTCCCAGCCCTGATCTCCT